GATAATTCTCTCCATTTTATTTGCTTTTTCCGCTGTTGAGGAGCCCACGGAGTGAGTCACCTAATAGCAGTCACCAAGGTTGTTTCTCAAGGACAGGAGATATTGGATGAAAGCAAAAGGGAACCTTTATAATTTTCTGGGAAAGATCAGGTGCTTTTTGGCCCAAGACCCCGGAATGTTGATTCAACAGGCAGCAAATTTAGCAGCAGTTTCTAACCAGATCTCTTCTCATGGTGGGAGCTGAAGCTAAATGAATCTGGAAGTTTGAAGTTTGCATTCCCCCAGCAGACAGTTTGGGAAGATACTAACTTTTAGCTCATAATCTGCAACCTCACTTGAACACCATCAGCACTGATAAATTCACCATCAGTCAATTGCAAGAGCTGACTTTGTTCGGAATAGCTTACATTAGTGTTTCTCAACCTTGACAATTTTAAGGCATGTGGACTTCAACTCCCAGAATTCCACAGCCAGCAATGCTGGCTGTGAAATTCTGGGAGTTGAAGTCCACATGCCTTAAAATTGTCAAGGTTGAGATACACTGGCTTACATCCTGTGATGAAACCTTAAACCCCATCAAATATTCCTTGGGAAGGACCCCAGAGATGGACAAAAAGGCAAAATCCAGTCTCAACATCTAGCCAACTGTGCGACAAACCATAATAATTGTGCAAGAAGACCATTTTCCTGCAAGCAAGAACTAGTGGGCTATTAAAATAGAGCAAGTCATAGAAAACGAAGAAACTAAATGTTCTGGGACATTTAGACAGGCACCTGCCACACAACACGCCCGCTGCGATCCGATCTCCAAACAAGGTCTCGCAGCAACGACGCGGTCCCGATGACGCCCTCCGGCCTTCCATAGCTCCAAAGAGAATCACCCAGTAAGGAAACTCTCCCGTTTAGCACGGATCAGCTGAATCGGAGCCTAATTGCTCCGCAGTCCTGAAAAGCTCAAATTCAGCTCATTGGGAGCCTGCAAGGCTCTCTGGAGCCGAGGCTGCAGTTTGGCCTCAAGAAAGAATCCTGCAAATTTTGGAGCCAAATTGTATAAATGAGCAATTTGAGATAATTTGGGAAATTGGACGTAATACAACTAATTATCTGACTAATTACATTTAACCCAGTCTAAACCGAGGAGTCAAATAAATTGCGTCCTACTGAGCTGAGACTAAGTCAAGGTGGCGCAGCCGTTAGAGTGCAGTACTGCAGGCCACTTTAGCTGACTGTGTTCAGCAGGTCAGCGTTTCAAATCTCACCGGCTCAAGGTTGACTCAGCCTTCCATCCTTCTGGGGTAGGTAAAATGAGGACCCAGCTTGTTGGGGGCAATGTAATATATATATATATACATTGCTTACTGGTGTACACCGCTTAGAGAGTGCTTGCACTTAAAGCGGTATATAAGTCTCATAAATAAATAAATAAAAACTGGGAAGGTACAGCCCAGAAGGAGGCGTGGCTAAATTTCTGACAACGGTCAATAAGAAAGACAAAAAGAATCTGGATAGTGGAAGAAGTAGTACCTGGAGAGAGCAGAAGAGAAAGAACTGGAGAAAATCACAAAATGCAAAGACCTGGAAATAGAAATAGAATGACTGTGGCAAAAGGTAGTAGCCAAAAGGTAGGCGCCTTGGGTGCAATACCAAAACATCTGGAGCACCACCCAACTCTGTTATTCTATTATTTATCCAGAATGGCATGAAGTTTCATGTTCAAACGGGTCAGACTAGAAGACCTCCAAGGTCCTTTCCAACTCTGTTGTTCTATTATTCTCTCTCTGGACAGCTGTTGGGAGCTGGATATGGCTGGGAAAAAAAAAACCCTGCACAACTATCTCACAGCTTCCTCTGGCCCACTCAAGAGCTGATCTTAACAAAGGAAGTCCCAAAACAGGCAGAGCGAGGGGGAACATTTCCACAAATTCTCTCCTACATCTTTGCCAGAGCATTCAACTCTCCAGGGATCTGTTGATTAATGCTTTATTTCAAGGCCAGGGCACGGGAGAGCAAAGTTTCTCAAGACCAGGGGGTCTTCAAGCCCTTTGATGACTTGTGGACTTCAACTCCCAGCGTACCTGGCTGAGGAATTCTGGGAGTTGAAGTCCACAACTCATCAAAGGGCCAAGTTTGAAGACCCCTGCTCAAGACAGACCAGGATGGAGGCTTCACTGCACGCACCCGGGTTACCAGAATTGTAGTACTCTTGGCTCAAAATCTACTTACAGAATTAGGTTTGTTGAGATCACCACCTGACTGCAGGGATGCTGCAATGGCTATCGGTTTGACCACTAAGCCACTTCGTTCAGTGCACCATAATTTGGGTCGCTGAATGAATGGTCATTAAGTGAGGACTACCTCTGTTGGTTGGCATGTTGAAACCGCGTCAAGGGGAGAAAAGAAACTGGCTGTTCAAGAGTAGAGAACAAGGAAGAAAGCTAGGACTTAGGAAAAGGGTTCACACAACATGCTAGATCCAGGAGGACGAAACAGAAATGCAATGTAGTAGACTAGCGGCGTCCAATCTTGTCAGCTTTTAAGATGTGTGGACTTCCCAAAGCTGCTTCTTAAAAAGGGAACTGGACTTTGTTTTTCCTTGAAGACATTTCCCTTCTCACCCAAGAAGCTTCTTCAGAACTTCAGAACGGAAGAAGGTTCTTGGATCAGGAGCGAAATTTGTTGTGCACCTTTGGGACAACTATGGCCTGGATGACTGAGGATGTCCATAGACACTTGTGGACTTCAACTCCCAGAATTCCCCAGCCAGCCTACTTCAAGGTCTGGAATTCTGGGAATTGAAGTCCGCCACATCTTCAAGCTGCCAGGGTTGAGCAACAATATCCTAGTGTGTCGTGGGAATTTGGTGGTCCCTGCAGCAAACGTTGGAGGTCCTTTGACTTGCTTCCCACCCATCTTAAAGCATGTTGGCTGAGGAATTCTGGGAGATGAAGTCCACAAGTCTTAAAAGTTGCCAAGGTGGACACCCCTGCCGTAGACCCAAAGCAGATTGTGTCTTCCTGTGATGGGATGACCTGCTCCACGCAAGATGCTGAACCACAAACAACTCATCCTGGCTTGTTGTGCAAATGCCACCATTTTGTGCAGGAAACTCTAGACAGCTGAAAGTAGAGTAACTACCTGGTGTAACCCAAAGTTCTTCCTAGGCAGAGTAGCCACATTGAGACTCCCAAAAGGTTACACAACTAACCTCAGCAGTAGTACCAACACCCAGGTTTAAATTTAGACTTAAGATTCCTCCCTCCCAAACTCAAGCCTTTTTGGGACTTAATTGTGGGGAGGTTTTACATTTTTACTTCACCCAAGCCTTGCTGCCAGAGGTTCTCAGTGGAGGTTTTCAAAACTGGACAGCCATTTGTTGAGCAAGGGGTTGGACTAGAAGACCTCTGAAGTCCCTTCCAACTCTTATTATTGTTATTCTGTTTTTCCTGCCTCCTTGCTCAAGGAAAATTTTGGAAGAAAACATTTCTTGAAAGACCGATGCATAGAATCTAATATACGTTGAACAAGTGAGATTTTAACTTTTGGGGGGCAGGTCTATCTTCCACTTACGACGATACTCATTCACCAGTATCAGGGTGTTGACTGCGGTAGAATTGCTCACTTAGTGACCTTTCAAATTATGGCAATCCCCCCCCCAAGGGGTACTTATAACCCAGTTTCAGACCCCCCCCATGAACTTATGAACTGGTTTCAAAGTTTCAGCTGCTGCAGGAACCCCACAGGTCGCACACCATTACAACTGACAGCAGGTAGTGGCCACCCCCATCTTGCTGGGTGGCTGGAGTGGGAAACCCAAGGCGACCCCGTGGGGGTGAGAAGCAGGCCCAAGGCTTGCAGGGACTCAAGGAAGAACCCAACCCTATGCGCCTCTTAAAGAGCCGAGGTGGCGCAGCAGTTAAGAGTGCAGTCCTGCAGGCCACTTTAGCTGACTGTGTTCAGGTCAGCGGTTCAAATCTCACCTGCTCAAGGTTGACTCAGCCTTCCATCCTTCCGGGGTAGGTCAAATGAGGACCCAGATTGTTGGGGGCAATGTAAATATATATATTTACATTGCTTAGAGAGTGCTTGCACTTAAAGCGGTATGCAAGTCTCATAAATAAAATAAAATAAATAAACACTCAACCTGTCTAGGGAGATTCAGTCCTCCAGTCACGATTATCCCAAAGGTGTTTTTTCAAAAGGCAACTGGACTTTCCTGTTTTTCTTTGAAGACATTTTGCTTTTCATCCAAGAAGCTTCTTCAGCTCCGACTGGATGGTGGGGATTTATATTGGAAGGATTTAGGTTCTTGCATAAAGCACAGCTCCAACTTCTCAATGACTCAGGTGACCCTGAGGACATAGACAAACCTCCAAGTGGCCTCAATGATTCTTTCAAAGAAGGCAAATGACCAGCTGCCTGCAAGGAGTATAAATCCTTCCGTTCCCCACCATCCGGTCAGAGCTGAAGAAGCATCTTGGAACGAGAAGCAAAAAATCTTCAAAGCAAAACATCTTCAAAGCAAAATAAGAAAGTCCAGTTGCCTTTTAAAAAAGCACCCTTGGGGCTCACTTAACGTCCTCAGTCTGGAAGAATAGGGGTTCGGGACATTAAGTGAGGCCACCCCATAGGCCAGTGGTTCTCCACCTGTGGGTCGGGACCCCATTTGGGGTCGAACGACCATTTCACGGGGGTTGCCAAACAAGGCTGCCCGCCATTTTCCCCCCTTTTCTTTGGCCACGCCCCTGGCACCCGGTGATGTATAAGTGGTTGGGGGTCACCACAACATGGGGAACTGTATTATGGGGTCGCGGCATTAGAAAGGTTGAGAACCACTGTCATAGGCCCTATTTGGACTGCAACGGGCAGGCCCCATTATGGACAGAACCTGAGGACTGCCTGTAAATGAAATACTTACAGGAACTTGTACTTGCACATGTAAACATTTTTTGAGGATGACACCAATCTTGCTACAACCCCAGTCAGAACCAACCAAACAGGCATTTTCATGTTTCGATAATTTATTAGGAAAAAGGTTTATACCCATAGTCCAACAGTACAAAATATAATTAAAGTTGCAAATAATACAAAACAAGCAGAACAGTGAAACAAAAACAGTTAAGAAAAAAAAAATCAGTACACCCATTTGTGACACACAAAGGTATTTGTGGCAACAAAATCTGGGATGAATTAACACTTCGGCTATGCAGTGCAGAGTCATTTCAAGTGCATTTTTCTGCTGTGGTGGTGGGGGGGGGGCAAAAACACAAGGTGTTGGAGGTAAACAAGTTGGACGGACACAGGATGGCTTAACTAACCACAAACAAATGCTTCTCCATATGGCTTCTTGAAATATTAAAGCTCTTGCTACAGATACAATCATTTTAAATGCAGATCTTTTGGCACCGTTTGGCAAAAAACACGTTTTGATCTTCTGAGGGCCCCTGGGAGGTTCAAGGGGTGTGTGTGTGCTGAACCCCCCCAACTCAAACCCTCCAACCAATCTACCCCACATTTCTGAACGTGAACGCCCCTCAAAGATCCTAGGCAAAACAGCAATTTCTCCTTTACAAAAAACAAAAACAAAACAAAAAACAGGTTGGTTTGCTTGCTTAACAGATTTAGACAAAAGGGGGAAAAATACAGGATTTAAGTGCTATAAAAAAAAACTGTAACCAACTTGAGGACCCCAAGTTGCTATCTTGCATTGTTCAATAAGCTTTACAGGAAAAGAATCTTTTTCCTTATTTAGGCTCTTTGGATGCTGCAAGTTTTATTGCTATGCAATGTTTCCACTTCTCTTCCTTGCTTCTCACCTCTCCTCCTCTTCCCCTGGAGGCTGGTGAGGAACAGCCCCTCCTCACCACCTCTGCTAATCTCAGATCCCTTTTTTCCTATAGCCCCCTTCCCCTCCACGCTCCTCCCAAGGCTGCCCTGGTTAAGATGGTGGGGTTCAAAGAGTGAAAACCAGCTCCATTCAACCACCACCAATACCAGCGGCTACAAAAAACGTCTATCAAAACCTCCAGCCAATTCCCTTCTGCACCCAAATCGCGAAGGGCCAAATCCCTTTTTGTTCTAAACTACAGAATGTCACACCTACAGAAAGAGCAAGAGGTGTGCATTTTTGTGTCTCAGTAGCAGTGAAGTCCTACCCTCCCCTTTCCTTGTCAAGGAGGGAAAGATGGGACACAGGATTTTTCTTCCAAAAAACTTGCCTCTTTCCCTACAATCTCATTAACACCGGGTCAGTTCGCAGGGGACACGCTTTTGCAAAGGGCAAAAGAGGATAGGAACCCCCAAACCCATAGGTGCCTTTGTTTGTGTCATCTGGAACATGTGCAGCACTAGGAAGGCTGTTTCGCTCCTTGCTGACTGTTTCCCAAGAGGTCACTTGACACCTGGTGGTTTCCTGTCCCTTTTCTGCTATGGGCAGAATGGCTACGAAGGCAATTTTGTGAAAGTCCAGAAAAAGCTGGATTAAAAATCACAGCTGGGCTTTTCTGCAGTGCTCACTGGATGCTGTCGCTATTGACAGCACAAGGATCAACCTGAAAGAGACGTAGAAAGGGAGACGTGTAAAACGGAGGTAAAAATGTGCTTTTCTTTGTGCAAATTAAAAAAAAAAAAACACTGGACGGTCTTTAAGAAGAGGCTGGATGGCCACCTGTCTGGAATGTTATAGGCTCTCCCACTTGAAGCTGGACTAGATGACCTCCAAGGTCCCTCCTAGTCCTATTCTGATTGAACTCACTCAGTGGGAAATCACAGCTTGAAATTAAGGTTACCCCCCCCCCAGTTAATCTAAGTCAGTGGTTCTCAACCTGTGGGTCGGGACCCCATTTGGGGTCGAATGACCATTTCACGGGGTCGCCAAACAAGGCTGTCCGTCATTTTTCCCCCTTTTCTTTGGCCACGCCCCTGGCACCCGGTGATGTATAAGTGGTTGGGGGTCACCACAACATGGGGAACTGTATTATGGGGTCGCGGCATTAGAAAGGTTGAGAACCACTGCTCTAAGTCTATTTTCAAACGGGACGGGAAGCATGTTCCATAAGGTGACCGGCAGTGGCACAATCCAATTTCCCAGATCAGCCCGGTTGGGCAGCACTTGTGGGCCTAGACTCCCCCCCCACCCCCCCAGGGCAAGGCAACCTGGAACAGACCCTGCTTATAACAAGACCTAACTTGCTCTACAAAACTGACTTGTGCGGTAGCCTTAAGAAGCCTCACCTCTGTGTAGGTTGGCGGCGGCATAAATTTGAACTCGGGCGCGTACATGAAGATGGGGCTGTCAAAGGAATTGTCCAGCTCATCCAGGAGGGGAGTGGTCGGGCTTTCGATCCGATGGTCTTCATGAATGATGTCCAGGTAGCATGGAGGTGCTAGGAGGAGAGGAAAGAGACCAGGGTCAGTTCTGGGCAGGTCTGGGGGCAGTTGCAAGACATTGCAAAGTGCATCTAGGAAGGCAAAAGACCTTCGACAGGCCATCTTAAAGTACAAAGCCAGCGAGAAGGCTTGTATGGGTAGGTAGAGGTCCTTCAGAAGACCCCCAAGACAACCACCTCCACAGAGGGAGAGGTGTGGAGACTCTTCCTCCTCTGGATCTTGAAGGGTTGACTAGGACATTGAGACCACTCACCTTCTGGAGCATCAGGGATGTTGAGGTCCACCCAACTCATCTCGGAGCTGGTCTGGCTGGCCATGCTGGAATTGCGACTGCCGAAGCTGGACTTGTTGCCGATGACCAGCGGCAACTCAAGAATGATCTTCTTAGAACCGGGGACGCTGACGTAGATCTGTGGAAGGGCAGAGAAACACGGTGAGGCGTTGGGTGGAAGCGACACCTGGTTAAAGAGGTTCCTTTCCCACATGCAGTTCAACCAGGATCGCTCAAGATAAGGGGAACTCCCTTGAAAAGTGGCTTAGGGTGGGACCGACAGGTTCTGGGGCTACCCCTTGGCTAAGCCAGAGCAGTTCAAACTGGGCCCAGAAGCTGTTGTAGGAGTGGGGCCCTGTCTCCAAGGTGGCTCACCTGGAGGAAATACTCTACGCGCAGGATGTTGCAGCCCAGAATGGATGGCTTGATCTTCTTGACCCGGAGTGTCTTTCCACGCCACGACTCGGACATGCCGGAGGTAATGTGGTTGCCTCGGACGCAGGAGAGTTTCTGGGAGAAGACCTTGGTCTGCCCGTTGGCCAGGTAGGTGTGCTTGGCCACGATGGCCGCCTTGGGCACCACGATCCGAGAGCAGGTGTTCTCAAAGTCAGCATTGATGCAGATGTCATCCCCTGGAGGAAGGCAGAGGAGGGAGGTCAGACCCTCAAGAACACTTAACAGCCTGAGAGGAGACCCTGTTTTGGTCACCCACAAATCCCTCAAATTATTTCAATATTCAGGGTTGCCAGTGAGGCTTGCTAAAAAAAAAAATATTCAAATTCTATCCAAAAACCTACATAACTAAAAGCACTATCAGCTTTAAATTACATTTTTATCTATTTCGTCAGGGTTTTGCACTCAATCCAGATTCTGCAAAAAACAAACAACCTCCCCCCAGGTAATAAGAAAAAAAAATGATCCAAAAAAGGTTTAAACTAAATTTTTACTTAGGGTTTCACACTTAACCCAGATTCTATCCAAAAACCTAGATAAAAACTGAGCCTTAAACAAACTTATTTTTACCTATATAACATATGCAATATAATGTCATGCATAGAAAAGCTTAAGATTTTGAAATAAAAAACCCCAGATCAAAAACCCAGATCTGGGCTTAAAAAATCAGTGCTGGCAACCCTGTTTTTATCTGCTCCACCAGCAACGGCTGAGCTAAACTTGTGACTTTACAAACAGATGGAGGTAAATGCAGGAAAATTGCCACGTTCCAGAATCTCACCTTCACAGAAGCCTTTGCGGTCGATCCTTGCACTAAGCGACACATGCCCATCTGGGATGAACATACAGGAAACTTTCTTCTCCTTTGTGGCAGAGACAGGAGACTGTAGAGAAGCAAACAACAAAGGGGGTTGGACTAGATGACCTCCAAGGTCCCTTCCAACTTTACTACTACTACTATTATTATTAAGTCCACTCCCAACTGAGTTTAACTCATTTTTTGGGGAAATTCTCCCTTAGCTAACTAAAAACGTACTTCAGCCATGCAGCTATATAAGCTAAGAAATATTTTCTTTGACTCCCTTGGACACGACTATTAACTCCAACCCTAAAGGTCATTGCAAAAGCCCCAAACCTCACCAAAAGTTTTAGAGAAGCTTTGGAGAAAGACAGAAAAACATCCAGACATTTAAAGTCGTAATCCTAACTAATTTAACCCCGCGTGACTGATGGACAGCAGACAAGACCTAAGTAAATAAAGCAGGGATAATTACCATCAGATCTGGAGTGTTGACGTCAATTTGATCCATGACTTCAAAGCGCTTCTTCACCTCTTGAGTTGGGAAGGACGGGCGATCCAAGAAAGCTTTGACCCAGTAATCCACACAGCCGTACTTGCCCTTAAAGGTGGTGCCAAGGGGTCTGAAAAGAAACCCAAGCAGCTTAGACAAAGGGGAAGAGGGGCAGATCCATGGCAGATGGTCGGATTTTACACAGATTTATTCATGCCTTTGATCTCTACCTACCCTTGGGGCAGTTCAAATTCAAACTTGTATCGGTATGTGTTTCCCGGTCTGAGTAAGACAGAACCATCTTTATCTAGAAAAATACAAGAAAGAAAGAGATTTATGGATTTTTTTTTAAAGCTGAAAATCAACATTCAGAGCAGTGGCAAGGGTTCGCAGAACTTCCCCCCTTTTAAAATAAGAAATGCAACGGTGTTCATTTCAACTTCTTTAAAATAAACTCAAAAATTACAGAGCCTTTACTTCTCTCTCCAGCTTTCATCTCCAGCCAAGTTTTGACAGCTAAAGCCTCCCTCTAAAGGGAACACCTGCCTGGCCTGGGCATTTGCTTCCGATTTAATAGACTTTAATAGACTGTTAAAATTGCCTCCCGCCAGGGACAGTCTGTACTATCCAGGGTGGCTTTCCAGGGACAGTCTGCACTATCCAGGATGGCTTTCCTTGGAAAACAGCCAACTCGGGCAAATTTTAAAATCTCCAGGATGCCCCTCATCATAACAGAGTTGGAAGGGACCTTAAGAGGTCTTCTAGCAGGATTCAAGCAAGAAACCCTGTATCGTTTCAAACAAATCTCTTCTTAAAAAGGCATCAGGGATTGCTCTTTCCTTGGTCACCCCTCTCCTTGATGCTTCCAATTTATCAAACTTATCTAAACCTTCCTTCACATCAAAGAATGCAGAATCCGAGTCCCTTGGCTGAGTTGGGTGGCTACTGTAACTGAACGTACAAATTGAATATATTCAGGGCACTCTGGGGTGCAAGATGGAATTTATTTAGGACTTGGGACGTCTGGATTTTTGGAAGCCTTGATCTTTAAAGATGCAAGTTTTTAAAATTTGATTTAATTCTAAAATTTAAGATACCTTAAAGACATTTCTACCCCATTCCATCCCCTTGTTTCACCCCAGAACAGGGTCGCTCAACCTCAGCTACTCTAAGAGGGTGGACTACAACTCCCATACTTGGCTGGGGAATACTGGGAGTTGTAGTTCACCCCTCTTAAGAGTGGCTGAGGTGGAGACGCCCTGATCCAGAGGATGCCCGCTTCTCCCCAATAATGCCAAGCGTGGAAAGCCATTGCTAGGCCACCCATAGGGGGGCTCCCCCACCCAGACGCATGGGACCTGGAATCCCCCTCCCCAAGCAGCCACGCCCAGCTGCTCACCGGCGGGCTGGTCCTCCATCTGCAGCACCGATTCGTGGCGCAGGTACTCCATCTCCTGCTTGCACTGGTGGGGGCCCCGGATCCACAGCACGCGGGCCACCCCGCAGGCCAGGAAGCGCACGGCCGAGACCCGCGTGACCTCGGCCACCTCCACCTCCACGCGGCCGGCCACCTTCTCGCCGCTGGAATACACCCGCTCGTTCTCCTCGAAGGCCACCCGGAACACTTTGATCCGCTTGAAGACCACCATGGTTAGGATTGGGAGATTGCAAAAACTTTCCAAGCGATTGCAAAAAGTGCAACGCCTCTCCGCACTTCCCAAGGCTCTCTCTTTCAATAGCGGGAACCGGGGCGAGCGCGGCTCCTGTCACTTTTTTTTTTTGGGACGCGCAACGAGCGAACAGCGCCAACCTCCCTCCTGCTCGGCTGCCTCCCAGCTCTGGCCGGCTCCGTGACGCGGCCGGCCCTTTTATACCCGCTCCCGCCCTCCTCCCCCGCCCCTTCACAGTTGTTGATCTCAGCGCGCGCCATGCGGCCGCCTCGTGGACCCGCGTGCGGCGCTCGTGCACAGCGCTCCCATTGGCTCTCTCGCGCCGTGTTTACCATCCCGCCAGCCAATCGGCAGCCAGCCGGCGGCGCGTGGACACCGTGTGTGTGGAAGCCCTGCCGGCTTGTTGCGGAGCGAGGCGCCGGGAAAGACCCGGCGCTGAGTGACGGCCCAAGCGACCAATCCGAATCCGACAAAAGGAAAAGAAGGCTGCGTTCTTCGCCAATCAGGCGCGGCGTCCCGGGTGGGGCTGTTTTAATTGCAGAAACTTCTGCTTTTTTTTTTTTTTTTTCCCTCCTCCTTGCTTGGAAGTTTCAATTTCAAAGGCAGCTTGCTTTTTTTGCAGCTATTTTTTTTTTTATCCTATCAGTATTAATAGGTCAGCATATTTGATAAAGAAACTCTAAGGTTCGCTGGGGAACATCCACGCTGCAATTTCTGGATTAAGGTTAAGGAGGGGGCAGTAATTTTGAGCCAAATAAATGGCATATATTTGCTATTTTCTTAGCATGCTTTGACTTTTTTTTTTTTTTGCAACCTCCCTGGTTCTAAAAAGATCCTAAGGAAGTGCCTGAAGTTTTCCCAACCGCTTTCCAAACATGGGACGTAGGTGACCCATAAAAACAAATCTCTAAACTTAGGACTGAAAATTGCTCCCCAACATTTAGTCAAATAGAATAAAATTGGAGGTTATTTTACGTCATATAAAGTCATATTTACTTGTCATTGTCTACAGCCTTTATAACAGATCCAAATCTGTCCAAGTGTTTGTGGAGCAAGGAATCCTGTGACTTCTTTTTTTAAAAAAATATACATTTTTTGTAAAATAAAAATACCATATAAACCATGAAAGTAAAATAAAAGTAAACCATGAAAGATAAAAGACAAATAAAACAAAACAGTGAAGTCCAGTTAGTAAAATACAAGTAAGTAAACATGAGGTCCTCTTGAAAACTAGCCAATGTTCCTAGATCAGAGCTTGCTGGGGAGAATTTTTATATTAAAAAGGGCAAAATGTGACTTGAAAGGGCAGCATAGCAATGGGAAATGCTATGAAATACATTGAAAACTTGATATATTCTAGACTGTTTCCCTTAGTTCCATTCTCTACTTTTATTGGTGATTGGAAGCCTATTGAGGACTTTTTTTTAACAAAAAATTAAAAGAATGAATTTGTGATTTATGGCTTTCATATCCAAACAGGATAAATTATAGAAATAGAATATAGAAATAAATAAATAAATATAGACATAAATATAGCAAACTGCTTCTTTATACCTTTTTTCTTCAGCCTTTCTTTCTTTCTTTCTTTCTTTCTTTCTTTCTTTCTTTCTCTCTCTCTCTCTCTCTCTCTCTCTCTCTCTTTCTCTCCCTCCCTTCTTTCTGTTTCTCTTTCTGTGAATTTTTGTCTAGTTTTGAAGACCATCAAATCATGAAATTATTATGTATAAAAATTGTTCTCATCAGCGCACCAACCTATGAAACCAAAAGGAAACACAACCTCAGCTGAGAGTAATACTGTTTGTATTTTTGAAACGGGCTGTACAAATAACAGGAAGCTTCTAAGACACAGAAAAATTTTATTTTTCCTGCCTGCTTCTCCTCCTTCGTTTATGTCTTTGTTTCACTTCCCTGAAAATTTAAGGTTTTTCCACTGCATTGAAATGTCATTTAGGGCAGAGGTCTGCACGGCTGGCTGGGGAATTCTGGGAGTTGAAGTCCATAAGTCTTAAAGCAGCCAAGTTTGGACATCCCTGCTTTGGGGGGGGGGAGAGTTTATGTTCCCCCCATTTCATCTATATCATATCAGTCAAATGGTTGCCCAATCTCTTAAAAACTTCCAGTGTTGGAACGTGCACAACTTCTGAAGACAAGCTGTTCCATTAGTTCAGCGGTTCTCAATGTTTGTGTGACGGCGACCCCCGTCACACAAACGTTATGCGCATGCGCGGCGCGGTGCACATGGGGGTGGGCCCCCCCGTGCACGGCACGCATGCGCGGTGCCGCCCCCATGCAGCGCGCATGCGCGGCGCCACTCCCCGGAGGTGCGGCGCCACCCCCATGCGCGGCGCGCATGTGCAGCGCCGCCCCGGGAGGCGCGCTGCCGCCCCCACGCACGGCGCGCATGCATGGCGCCGCCCCCCAGAGGCGCGCCGCCGCCCCCACGCACGGCGCGCGTGCGCGGCACCGCCTCCCCGGAGGCGCGGCGCGCCCCCGGAGGGGACAAAATGGCAGATCGCCACCTTTGGCGACCCCCAAAAAGAGGTCGATCGACCCCAAATGGGGTCGCGACCCATAGGTTGAGAACTGCTGCATTAGTTGATTGTTCTCAGTGTCAGAAATATTATCCTTATTTCAGGTTGAATCTCTCCTTGATCACCCTCCGTCCGTTATTTCTTGTCTGGCCTTCAGTGCTTTGGGGTATAGGTTGACCCCTCCTCTCTGTGCAGCCCCTCAGATATTGGAAGGCTGCTATCATATCTCCCCTGGTCCTTCTCCTCACTAGACCTGGAGGACTTCTGAACAGGGATGCTTAGATACCTAGAGTGGAGAGTAAGATGGCATCTTCTAGAGCAGTGGTTCTCCACCTGTGGGTTGGGACCCCATTTGGGGTCGAACGACCATTTCACGGGGGTCACCAAACAACGCAGTCCGCCATTTTTCCCCCCTTTTCCTTAGCTGTGCTCCTCCCTTTTCTATTGGCTTTTGAAAGCCAATAGAATAGGCTCTCTTGAATAGAATCTAATTCTATTGGCTTTCCAAAGCCAATAGGAATTGTCCAGGCTGTCTCTGCCCTGCTGAGCCTGCCAAAAGTCCCATTCTGCAAACGGTGCTGCACCCGTTGAGTAGTCCTCGACTTACGACCGGTTGAGTAGTCCTCGACTTACGACCGGTTGGGGGTCGCGGCATTAAAAAGGTTGAGAATCACTGCTCTACGCTTTTGACATTGGATGAAAATGGGTGTAATAATAGACTAGGAAGAAAAATTGGGCTGGGGGTGAGTGAGGGGTAGAAGAAAACAGATAGGGTGGATGGATGCTTTTAAAGAAATGACAGGGACGACCATCCTCAGAAGAGCTGCAAGCTGAACTGGCATTTGTCCCTGCAGTTAGAAAGTCATTCTCTGAATGAGATGAGTGGTCTCTAAATTTAATGTATAAATTATTGGCCCAAAGACAGCTTTCAGGCCTAAGGCGGGACTAGAACTCACCGTCTCCTGGTGATTGGCCCAAAGTCACCCAGCCAGCTTTTGTGCCTAACGCAGTGTTTCTCAACCTTGACCATTTTAAGGCATGTGGACTTCAACTCCCAGAATTCCACAGCCAGCAATGCTGGCTGTGGAATTCTGGGAGTTGAAGTCCACATGCCTTAAAATGGTCAAGGTTGAGAAACACTGGCCCAACGCAAGACACCACGATAGCAATCTGGCTCTCTTAAGAAGTAAATCAAGCCTTTTCTTCCTTCATTCACACATCATACTAAATATGGTTTTCTTAATCATAGTTTCCTGGGAAAAAATCATAATTTGTTGTATTTACATGTTGCAAAACCTGAAACTAAGGAGGAATTTCCTGACAGTGAGCACAATGAATCAGAGGAATGGCCTGCCTTCAGAAGTTGCGGGTGCTCCATCCCTGGAGGTTTTCAAGAAGAGATTGGACAACCATTTATCTGGGATAGTATAAGGACTCCTGCCTTGGGTAGGGGGTTGGACTAGAAGACCTCCAGGGTCCCTTCCAACTAAGGATTCTATGAAACAGAATAATTGAGTTGACTGATCATCCCTTAGACCAGGAGTAGGCAACCTTGGCTCTTTTATGACTCGTGGACTTCAACTCCCAGAATTCCTGAGCCAGAATGGGGGAACTATGCCCCCCCCTCATGACCTGTGGACTTCAACTCCCAGAATTCCTGAGCCAGCCTGGCTCAGCTTGGAAACCTCTCCCTTTCCCCTCAGCGTGGCTGGCTCAGGAATTCTGGGAGTTGAAGTCCACGAGTCATAAAACAGCCAAGGTTGCCTAGCCCTACCTTAGACATTCATGGGGGTGGCGAAGCTAAATGAGAAAATACACGTCACTCCATCATGACACAGAAGCTGGGACTTCACACTTATACCACACCAATTGGATGAGGGTATTGACAGTGATATTGTCAATGTGATAACATTATCTTGATGTGACACAGCACCTTCAAATGCCTGTGGAGCTTCTGAGCCAGAACCAAACAAACTTATCACATTAAGGCTTCACCAAACATATTATTCCCAACTAATATGTTGGCTAGTTAGATTTAAAGCCTCTTTTTCAAGCTTACTCAAAGAATGTCACAGAAGACCTTCTTTTTTATCTCATGCATGGGTAACAAGTCTTCAGTCTGGACTAGCACCTCTTGTTAATACAATTACAGAGTCCTCAAGTTATGACCACAATTGAGTCCAAAAGAGTTGTTAAGTGCGTTTTGTTCCATTTCACAACTTTTCTTGCCACAATTGTTAAGTGAATTACTGCAGTTGTTAAGTGAGTAACAACGTTGTTAAGTGAAATCTGACTTCCCCAGTGACTTTGCTTGCCAGAAGGTCACAAAAGGGGATTGTGTGAGCCCCAGGACGCTGCGACCGTCATAAACATGAGCCAGTTGCCAAGTGTCTGAATTTTGATCACGTGACCCTGGGGGACGCTGCAAAGGTCGTAAGTGTGAAAAACGATCATGAGTCCCTTTTTTCACTGCCATTGTAATTTTGAATGGTCACTAAATGAACTGTTGTAAATTGAGGACTACTTCTACTCCAGTTCTGGCTGTGGCAACTTGGTTCTAATTTCATTTTCAAGGCATAGTAGGATGTAAAACCAGGGTTGTCCAATCTTAGCAACTTTAAGACCTGTGGACTTCA